CTCAATCAAGCGTGTCATAAAATACAATCTTGTGATGAATCAAATGGGCCTTTGAATCTACGGGCTTCCGTCAATCAGTCGCACGGTGCATCAAATAGTAAGGTAGTAGAAACTATCCCAATCAGAATGGAGTCACTAAATCAAAGTGGCTACCACGTTAAGGGAGTCAAAATGCGTGAGCTAAAAATTGAAGCAGCCGAAAATGAGCGAGTAGTTCTAGAAAATAATTGTTTCATGGTACTTATAATCCTAAAATAGAGCAGAAAAATATGTTTGCATAAGTATTAAAACATTATCAGTGAATGAGAAGTGCGCGATCTTACTGAAACAAATCTAGGCTTGATACAAAACAAAATAACTCAGATCCTGGACCCAAAGATGTATTGATCTTAAACAGCGTTAAAAGTTATATTTTGGTGCAGTTAAAGTATTTAAAAACAATTACTCAAAAATATGAAACAAGGAAGAATAAATCCATCAAGCATAAAAAGATCTTAAAATGAAGTTGAATAAAGATTAAGTATAAAAAATGGAATCCTTCTTAGCGTGGCAATTGGCATTCTTCATAGTGAGCATAATAGAAGGGGAAACGATAGTTGATAAAAGGGACGATAAAATTGGGGTTATTATAGGCCCCATTTGATTAAGATAAGAGGATGCAAAAGTAATTGGGTTAAAATAATAGAATCAATGGCAAAGAATATGTGCGTGAAGAGTCAGAAAATTCACTGCCACCTACCTGAACATTGTTAAAGTCAACTCGATTAAGGTCGGCTAACATTTGGGTTATTTGGCTAGTATTTTTCAATACAGCACGCGCCGCCTGAGCCAGGTGGTTTAGGCTAGTGTAGCGTCGCAAGGTCTGAGCCAGAGCACAGACGGCGTTCACTTTGATTCGAATTAGAAGGGGATCTAGACCACGCATAGCTAGACGCATCCAGTTCTGTAGTAGTAACAAGAAATACCAGATCATAAGATGAAAAAAAATTTATGGCCCGCCTGGTAAAGGGTTACAAAAGCCAATACAAGATATAAGTAAGATTCGCATTGAGTTAAAAAGCGCAACTTCCACAGATGTTGGAAATAATGGACGCGATGCTAGTCTAAGGACAGCCATCAGAGTCATTTCGATAAGATCAAAGGAAATAACGAAGAGGTTTCCTAATCCCTATTCAGTTACCCAAGCAAGCCTATGTGTTCGTCTTACTTATAGAAAAGATGAGTTCCTTTTAATCTATATTAAGATTATAAGGATTTGCAGACAGGATAGGTCTATGTCCTTCCCGAGTAAACCAGCTATGATAGTAAACGCACAAAGGACCAAGAAATCTATATAGACACACTCATCATGATGAATTCCATATGAAACTAGTAAATTATATGGAGTGATAATAATTGACTGGTAAGAGCTACTAATTATATGAATGCAATGAAAATAGCTTTCCAAAGGCCAAAATTGGTCCAATAAAATTAAATTTTATATTAAATCAATCGCCAATGGGTATTTAGAAGTGATATAAGTACGATTTACCTCAAGTGATTTGGCGAAATTTCGGATTGCCTGAGTTAGAGTAGGCGGGATAGGGCGAAGGACATTCGGGATAAGCACTTCAGCGAGAGATTGGTAGAAAGTGTGGTCGTAAATACGGATGAACTGGCGCACATACTCATGTGAAGTTAAGGTGTATAAACGATCTTGAGGAAGGCTTTCCTGGAGCTCAGGATCCTAAGAAATAAAAGAAATTCTAAATATGAAAATGAATATCGTCAAAGCATTAAGCGGGAATGGATGGGACCAGAGTCGGAGTTTTTGAAGGCTGCAATTGAAGTATAGATTCGAAGTAATTTGACGTCGTTTTCGCAACATGGTAGTGCTGTCAAGAAGATCTAATGAACACACATTGT